TCAAAATAACGTAAAATATTGCATAATTACCATTTCTCACAAAACACTCTTCTTTTTTTTTACTAAACTTAATTTGGTTTTTTTACCGAACTTCTTCCTTTCCATTGCATCTCCTCGCTGTGTAATGAGATGAGTACCTTGGCATCTGCCAGCGAGACGTTGGCTTGTAACGTTAGTACTGCGCACTGTCGGTAGGTGGCCGCGGCGCCGCGACGATTTTCACAGTTGAGGCTTGCGAGCTATAACTTGATAAGACGAACCGCGAGCGTGGGTGGGTACTCATTAGAACTGGTCTTGCAGTAATTGCATCATGGATTTTTTTTCTTCTTTTTAGCAATTCCAGTAAATCCTTCAGTTTCCTCCTCTATTTATTCCTATCGAAATTTTTTTCTTAGCAAATTTTTCACACCTTTTCTCTTTCTTTAAGCACTTTATTATGCCTAGACGTCACCTCTCTGATTACGAAATTAGTCGACTGGTAACACTTTTGCAGGAAGGTTGCAGCCAACGACAGGTTGCTAATGTTCTTGGTGTAAACCAGTCAGTTGTGAGCCGTGTCTATGCTCGATTTAGAGAGACTGGGGAGTATGTCCGTAGGTCGTGGCAAGGACGCAGACGCGTGACAAGTTCTTGAGACGACAGAGCAATTACGCGACGTGCTCTTCGGGAGCCCTTTGTTATCGCACGCACTATTGCGGAACAAATTTCGAACCGCAGGCAAAACCCGCCACGCACGACCTCTAACAACACCATGAGGCGTCGATTGAGGGAGGCTGGCTTACGTTCGAGGCGCCCGGTACGAGTCCCGTTGCTAACTGCTAGAAATCGACGGCAGCGTTTAGCTTATGCTCGTCGTTACATACGCTGGTCTCAGCGTCAATGGACAAATGTTCTTTTTACAGACGAGTCCCGATTCTGCCTACGAGGGAGCGACCGACGGGAACATGTTTGGCGTCGTTGTGGCGAACGTTACGATGCCAATCATACAAGGCCGATCACCGCGTTCCATGGGGGATCCGTTATGGTTTGGGCCGGAGTATCGCGGTATTCACGTACACCGCTAGTTATTCTTTCACGTGGTGGTTTGACCGCCATGCGGTACGTGGACGAGATTTTGCGCCCCGTTGTGCTCCCTCTGCGTCAGCGTATGGGCAACCGCTTTCAGCTTATGCAGGACAATGCAAGGCCCCATGTTGCATGCTATACGCAACAATTTTTTCAAGAAAATCGAATACCAGTTCTTGACCATCCACCAGTGAGCCCAGATTTAAATCCCATTGAACATGTCTGGGATATTCTTGGGCGTCGGTTGCGACAGCAATACCCAGACTTGGCGAATTTAGGGAAATTAGCGCACGCCCTCCGCCAAATTTGGCGAAGAATACCACAGTCAATCATACGGAGGTGCACTAATATGCGCAAACGATTAAAAGAAGTAATCAACCGGAGATGCGGTAATACCCATTATTAAACACAACATACGCATACATGCACGCACGCACGCATCGGAGAGTGAGTTTGGAGTCACAAAATACTTTAGGAGTGACGAACCACAGGGTCTCATCTCTCCATGCTTGTATATACGCAGTGAAGCGTAAATCCGACAGTGAAACCTCCTCGTGGTACGCCTTGGGTAATGCTAATGCCGGCAGTATTGTGCACCTTTTGTCACTGCGAAGAGATTGTATAAAAATGTGTTTGCTAAATTTCTGACATCTCTACTTTCTTCTAAAATAAAGTGAAACTAAGAAGACACAGACCACAACAGTTCAAACACTGCGAAATCGTTTTAAAGAGGAAACGTACCGCAAAAGAGTCATTCACCAATTTTTCAGACTGTATCGCAAGTTTCACTATCGAGGGCACAGGGTAAAAAAAATCTGATCAATGCGGCCTTTGGTACAGGATTGATTAATAATTGTTTATTAATTGATGATTAGCAAATAATATTTATAATAAACGATTGACGATTTTAATTGATTAAATTAATCGCGATTTTTTGCAACCATACCTATCATTACAACCATACCTGTAAACGAATGCCGATCGTCCATATCGCCTGCCCAATCTGCGTCGGAAAAAATTTTAATTTCGGGCTTTCCGTCTGTATCGTAACGCATAACGTATCTTTCGGTTTTATATAAATAACCGCAAAATATGCTTAGCCTGAGTCCAGTGTATTTCGCTCGGACATGAATTGAACAGTGACAATTTTGTCACGGCAAACAGAATATCTGGTCTACTTCGCAAGGCTATGTACATTAACGATCTTATTAACTCTCGATATGCTGTTATTCCGTTATCGTTTAACTGATCTGGTGATGAACTCTTTAGAAGTTTTAAACCGGGTTCTAATGGGGTTGCCGCGCCCTTACAATCTTTCATGTTATACTTGCGTAACAAGGATTCTAAATATGGTGTTTGACTAAGTATAATTGAATTATCGTTTCTCTCTATCTTAACACCTAAGGCATGATTTATTTACCCGAGATCTTTGGTTTCGTATTTCTCACTAATGAGTTTAACAACATTTACTATCGACGTTAGTTCTTTTGCAAATATAAAAATATCGTCTACGTAGATTACGGCTATGGTCCAGTATCCTTTAATGTAAACGCAATTGGATGAGCGTAATCTCTCAAACCTTTGTTCCGTGAAGAAGCTATCCAGTTCAGCATTCCAATTTCTGCCTGACTGTTTGAGTCCATAAATGGGCTTGTCTAGTTTTACAATCCTTTCTTCCTCACATTTATTCGACGGAGGTAGCTTCATAAGTATCTCTTCCTCACGGTTTTCATAAAGATACGCGCATTTTATATCCAACTGTCTAGTGTGCCAACCGAAAATACCTGAAATTGCTAATAACAACCTTATTATTGAAAAACTAGCTACTGGTGCATAGGTTTCGTGGTAATCAACCCCCTTTTGTTGGGTGAAACCTTGTGCCACCAATCTGGCCTTATATCTAAGTACGTTACCATTACAGTCTCTCTTTAATTTAAATACCCATCTACTACCTATAACCTCCCGGTCTGCTGGTACGCTATCTATGGTCTTCCAGGCTTTTCTTTGTATCAGGCTATTCACTTCATCTTCTATGGCCCTTTCCCAGTGCTTTGCTTGGGGGGACGACAGGGCTTCGTCTAGGATATTCGGTTCTGTAATCTCCATAAGGTTTAGTTGTATGCTTTCCCTGTCCTCTTCTTCAGTGTTGCTCATTTGGTCCTCTTGGAGACGAGGTTTGCCTTGTCTTCCATATGGATTCCTTACGACTTTCATTGGTCTTCCAACTTTCTTTTTCGGCTGAGCATTTTCCACCCCCACTGTCTCGTTAGTCGGGTTATCAACTGTGGCTGATGTTCGCTGCTGCGTTACTTCCTTCATGCCCGCGATCTGTGCATCAGTTTGTGATTCATCTTCTTCTCCCGACCAAATGTCGTTATATGCATGAGTATGATATTCATAATCTATGTTTTCGCGGTGCAACCATTCAAAACCCATCTTATCTTCTACAAAACGTACATGTTTGGTTACTATTACATCCCGTTTCTTCGGGCACCATTGACGGTAGCCTCTCGTTTGCGTTGCGTAGCCGACTAATACGGCTGGAGTGGCTCTATCGTCTAACTTCCTCTGTCCTGGCTTTGGTAAATGTGCGCAAGCCAATGCTCCTTACGCTTTTAAGTGTTTTACGCTTGGAGTTATTCTTGACCAAATAGCAAGTGGTACTTGATCCTTGTTGGACGTGTGAATTACTCGGTTTCTGGCGTACGCTGCCGTAGCGACGGCTTCAGCCTAAAATTTCTGGGGCAATCTGGCAGATTTCAACATTGATCTGGTTAAGTCAAGTAGTGTTCTGTTGATTCGTTCAGCTATCCCGTTCATCTGAGGAGTCTCTACGTTCGATCTTTCATGCTTAATACCCTTTTCTTCAAAGTAGGTTTTTAGACCTTGATTACAATATTCTTTTCCATTGTCGGATCGAAATCTCTTAACTTTCTTTCCCGTTTCGAGTTCTGCGCTGGCTATATATTTTTTAATATAATCCTTGATCTCGTCCTTTGTTTTGAGGAATACAACTGTAACATACTTTGAATAATCGTCAATGAACGTTGCAAAATATTGTTTCTCACCTAACTTGGTACCATGGACTTGGTAGGCATCGGTCCGCAAATATCCGAATGAATCAGCTCGCAAACATCCTTCGACTGTCTATTTCCAATCTTTCGAGAAGGCATTTTTGTTGACTTTCCAATGTAACAATCTTCGCATGCGTTTTCTCCAATTGTTGTATTTTCTAGTTCTCGGACTCGACTTGCTGTCTTTTCAATCGTCTTCATGTTTATATGGCAGAATCTGTGGTGCCATAATTTACTATCTTGTATGGCTACGCTATGAGATTCCAAAATTTCTCTCTGGTTCCTAATGGTTTTTGCACAAACTACGTACAAATCATTTTGTCCGTCAGCTATGCACATAAGTTCTCTGTTTCTGCTTGTATCATAAATACTTGCTTTTCCGTTTTCAAATACAATTTCTTTGGCTCTTCGCTCGATTTGGGAGACAGACAATTAATTTTTTCTAATACGAGGTACGTAATATACATTGTGTAATGTTATTTCCTGTGTTCTATTACCAACGAAGGCTCTTATTATGATATCACCTATTTCTTCGGTTTCCAGTGTGAGACTCTTTTCTCCATTGGATTCAGCAGCTGTGTTGATTGGTTCCAAGCGAGTTTCCTTGAATTTTACGAACCAATCTCTTCGCTTACATACATGGTGCGTACATCCGCTATCAAGGATCCATGTATCTTCCATGTCTATATTGTTAAGTGATACCAAAAATCCTTCGTTGCTTTCTTTCCTCTGGCCATTGTGGTTCTGACTTTTAGTTTCGTTTTTAAACCAACAATTCTGTATATTATGACCTGTTTTCCTGCAATGCGAACAAAATAGAGGTTTTGGTTTATGTGTTTGATATGTACCTTTATATGTTGCCTATTTTGGTCCCTTTCGTGGATTCAATGCTTCCATGTGGTCTTCGTTGTTGTCGGTGCATCTGGATTTGCGCCTATCACACTCAGTCAGTAGTATTTTTGTTATCTCTAACGAGGTAAACTGTTCATCTGGTAAGTTAGCTAAAGACATGTTTAAGTTTTCATAGTCGTTTGGCAATCCGACTAGTAAAGTGTACGCTGTGTCATCGTCTCGTACTTCACAGCCTGTTTCGTTGAGATTTTTGACAACTATTTTAACTCGGGATACATATGACGACATTGATTCGTCTTCCTTCATCCTAGACTGGTAAAGTTTTTTCTTTAACTGCAATATTCTTACTCTAGATTTGGGCTGATGCACTTGATCTAGGGCGATCCATGCGTCACGGGCATCTGTGCAATCTTCAATGTGAACTTGTTGGTTAGGTTCAATGTGCAATCCAATAGCTTGTATTTGATGTGTTCTCCTTTGTTCATCTGTAGTCAACTCCGCTAATTCAACTTTCCTAAGCACGTGGTCTAGTAATCCCTTGCCCTTGAGATACCATTTCATTTCTATCTTCCACGTTCGGTAATTATTGTCTGATAACTTCGCGATTCGTAAACTTAATTGCTTATCGATATCAGCCATTGTTTCGCGTTTTCTCTAATTCTTTTCTTTAATTTTGCTTTAGTAAATAATCAGTCTCACCGGACGTGTATGCTTGATCGCGTGGCTTATTTTAGGCTAAGTCGTCCACCTTTTACGCTCCTGGGCCCATAACCAATGTGGGATAAAAAGATCAGGAGTAGTACGCGGTATGGAGTGCACATCCATTTATTGCAGCATCACACTTAACTTATAACTTATAGTACAATCGTAAATAAACTGAGATCTGTATATAATGAAGTGTTCGCTTGAACATATGGAACGCAAGAGGGCGCACGCTCGGAAGAGAGGACTCCCAAGGAAAAAAAAGGAACTTGGTTGCGCACGCATCGCACAAAGGTCGCACGCACACACACGTATAGCGGGAAGAGCAAACTGTTTCACAATATACCTCTACGTCGGCCGTGACATTTGTCAGTCGAAAGTCGTTCTCCAGCGGTCCAGTCGACGGTCGACACGACGTTTCTCGTGTGCGCTCTACGGCCGGGCCCACACGAGCGTTTTTGTCGGACGACTCAGGAGTGGCTTAACCCCTTAAGTATTTTATTTAGTTCTTGCTGCTCGAAAAGAAACAGTCAACGCACTGTTCAAGCATACCGAGAATGAGATTTAGAACCGGTTGAGAGAACCTATTCCTGGAACCCAAAGAATCTGTTCTAAACTCCGTTCCATGTAAGTATAACCTCACGATCGGACGAGTTTTCGACCGATCAGCGCAGCCCCCACTACTGCCGACCGATTCGGACAGATGCGATTGTATGTAGCTTGCTATCTCTGCTGATACGAGCCAGGGTCGCGAGCAGCACAAAAGGCCGGCGGAGTATATTTTCCAAAGAATATTGTTTATCAGTTTGTTAGTGAGGGGCGCGAACGAATCTAATGCGAAATCAAGGAGCCGCTAGGATGATTGAAAGTGAGGACGAACCTCATGCGAAATCAGGGAGCCGCAGGAAGGTGAAACTCGTGGAATGAACCCGATGCGAAATCGGGAAGTCACTAAGATGAGATTGTGCAGACGAACTCAGAGCGTAGTTGAGGAGCGATAGTCCCAAAACTGGGTGTGGTTTCATTAGAATTTCTTTATAAGGGAATCTTAACGGTCGCGAGTGAATCATGATTGTGTCTCTAGGTTTCTATCCAGTTGGTCGAGATTACGTTCCCCTATTACTTGAGGAATAAATAGACGGAGTTTTCGGGCGTTTTCCGTTGCCAGGCGTGCGGTATAATACGATTGAAAATGAAATTATTCTCCATACTTGACACTGCCAATCTTCTACTAATGTACGGTCCTAGATGCCATCGTATGCGCAAAACGAGGTTATTCTTACGTGGAACGGAGTTTAGTACCGGTTCTGAAAGCGGTTCTGTAAAGAAATCACTTTCCTGATTCGGAACCGAATCTCGAGTAGTCAAGAACCGCTTCTGGACGAGCCGGGTCGGTTCTTTTTCCCTCCCTGGATTAGGGGAAGCATCAGACAGGTAACCAGGAACCGCTCCTAAAACCCAAAGAACCGGTTCTTGTACCGCTTCTAAGATGGGCATTTAAAGGGGAAAGCGGTTCTCAGAAATGAATCGATGGTAGGTTCTTCGAGCAGTTCTGTTATGGAATCGATTTTACGATTCGAAACCTAATCTGAGTGACGGAACCGGTTAAGAACCGCTTAAGAACCGCTTCGCAACGAACGGTTCGGTTCTTTTCCCATCCCTGTTTTAGGGTTATACTAAAAGCACCACATTTCATCTCCAGTCACAATCGATTCCAAAATTTTTTTATACTTCTGTGTGGTCATCGTGACGCGGAGCAGCATCAGCCACGAGAATACGCGAGAGGTCCGTCGTCCTCTCGCAACCATGAATTTCATCAGTCATGTCATTCCGCGAACACGCGGTTTCGCTAGCAAGAAATCGCTCGCGGTCGCCATGTCGGTGGTATGGGGCAGGGAGCCGCGTCGCGTCGAGAGAATTCGTAACAAAATAACGAATAAATTCTGTTCTGACTTATTCAGATCCTCATTAACGATGCATAATATACAAAATATTGGAAATTAATGTGTGAGGTAGCATTTAGATTCATTATCATTGGCGAAACTTTCGTAAAAATGTAATGAAAAATATAAAACTTTTCATTCCTGATTAGTTGAAGCGAACATTACGTGGAACGCTTCGAAGCATCAACATTCCAATGACTTTTGCACATTATTGCGGTTATTCCTATTGTATTTCCTCGTTCTCTTCTTCTACGTTTGCACTTGATTAAGCTCGATGTGATAATTGTAAAATATAGGATTAGAAGAAATCAATACAATCTTAAGTACGTGTATATTATGCCTAACTAGAGAAGACTTTAATGAACATAAACAGGCTAGACACTAAAAAATAAGCATTTTTAATAATGTCGACAATTATATTATGCAAATCTACCGGTTCTCGTCGAACACGATAACTATTTATCATCACCTGGATAACAACTTTGGTATATCGCGTCTTGTTGACTTAAATTTTCGGTTTCAATGTTTAATATGCCGGTGCTATTAAAGTTATAACCTCCTTTCATATATAGAATACACCTCAAAGTCTGGCCGTTTAATATACAAACTCATGTTCTATAGCAGGTGAGCGTACTTTCTTATTAACTGATATAGGTTGTTCGAAGTGCACATGCTGTTGGTGTGATTCTTCCTCTATATAGGTGTTTTGGAATCGTTTTCTTCCATGCAGGTAAATAATGGATTCCAAAGAGGAACAACGTGCTGTTGCTGAGTTCTTGACGAAGGAGGGGTACAAGTTATCCGACATCCACAGAATACTGCAAAATGTGTATCGAGATGGCATTATGATAGGTTCCTGCACACTGCCCAATTAAGCCACAAAATAAATGCGTGCAATTCATTCAATAGTGACTATCGTCGTTTCAGAAAGGGTGACTAATGAATTGAACGCGGAACTTGGTTTCCTAAAGGTTTCCGTGTATGTACTAAGCGTTGAGTAAAACTTGAACGAGCCTCAACGTTTTGACGATCCAGAGGGGATTCGTATGAGTGAAAAAATATGAATGTTTGCTGGTTACCAAATAGTCATCAATAGCTTCATTGTTCATTACGATTATGCATCGTTAATGGTCGTCCCAAATTTCCACTGCCGCTATAGAAAATTAAAATTGTTACCTAGTGGACACATCTTTAACCGAATAATTCAAATGCACAGTTATGGAAAATAAATCGAAAACAGAGAATGAAGTTGTTCTATTCAAGTTTTCTTTTTCAATAAAATGGGATTTGTAAAATTACCTATTCGTACTATTTGAAACAGTATGAATTAAGGAGTTATGCCTACCTACGAGCTCGAAAAAAGACATGCATTTTCGGAATTTATTTTTAAAAAACTTGAAGACCTTTTTAAATATACGTCACTGTATTCGAAAGTGTACATTTTAAAGTGCTTATAGTAATTTCTTCAATGCAAAATATGAATAAATTGGGGAAATATCAGCGATCTCCCGGCGGCGTTTTTATTTTAGGCGTTTTGCGGTCACCACTGTAACCTCGAATTCGTTTACCTGAAATAAAAAATCCGAGCAAATTTAGTTAATAAATTAAATTATCTATTGCCCGATCGTTCATTATCCTGAAAAATTAATTTACGACAAAATGGTGGCTGTTCAAAGTCGAAATATCGATTTTCGCCAAACAAATCGTTCATTTTTTATCTATAAAATAAGAACTACACAATCAAATACAAAAAGCCACGATCAGGCACTAGAGTTTTATGTATAGAATGAGTCCACCAAAGTTGAATCAGTTCGGTGCGGTGGTTCTCGAGATATTTTGGTCACAGATTTAAAAAATGTAGTTTTGAGAAAAATAGGTTTAAAGTTTCAAGTCAGGTTTACAACCGAATCAATGCAAATTTTTTATATATAGTTATTCTTAGTATTACGGACTCATATAGCTTTGTGTATTTACTAACACAACCATAAATTGCATTGGGGTACAGTATTTATGACTTACGCACCCCTAGAAAGGAATTCTACCACTTTACATCTGGTCCGAAACTTCCAAGACCGTATACTTTAAACGGGCGTAAAAACGCCAATTCTGGTCGGATCAACTTCAAACTTTCACACAATATTTCTAAAATGATGTATTGTAAGAAAATATTAAAACCCGAAAATCGATTTTTTCAAAATTTATAGGTAGGCATAACCCCTTAAATTACATGTCTGTCTGTTTCTTACTGTTTCCACTTACCACAAACGCTAATGATTAGCAAATGTAAGTTTATAAAATGAATTTTTGAAGTCGACTTTCTTGTAAAATAAGCTTCCCACGAAAAATATTAACAATTTCTGTATGAAGTATCGGTTCGTATACAGTTATATCAGTGTGACACTCTGTATAACTTTCTTATACATATATTTCACCAGCATTATTGGACCCGTTCGTTGGAACTGTTATCTCCTTTAACATCTGACTATAGGAAAAATTTACTTACAAGTACCATTCCTAGTAGTAGGTAATTAATCCGTTCAAACGTGTTTAAACATCTGACGAGGAATGTAAAAAGTTCCAGCAGAGTTTGAACATAACGAGACGATACCCCAGCCTCGAATCGCATGGCCGATTCTAGCAGTTCGAGCGGCTTGAAGTCGGAAACGTTTTATTAAACAGTTTGAAAAATGTACAGTGGCTCGAAAGTTTGAAATATGAAAAGTCATCAAGCTGTTTGAGAAAGTTGAATGCGGACTTCAGTCTGAACGTCTCGTCATGATCAAACTCAGTTAGAACTTTTCAAATTCCTCGTCACATGTTTTGATCAAACATGTTTGAAACAGTTCGTTCATGGACCCACTAATAACCATCTCCTTGTCAACCATTGTTTCCATACTTTTCTCTTTCGTGTTTACCTTTTATTTGCCTTTCTTACACTTTTTTTTTGTATTTGACCTGTAATTCTTTTTACTTACATGACTTAACCCTATATTA